AAAAACACTTAAACTAGGATCATTCCCTTCTCAACTTCACATCTTCCAACTAAGGCTTCATATTCAAGGGGAAAAATGAAACTTTTTTTCCTTACCTGCATGAGCCTGGTTAGTCTTGACCCAGTGCTCAGCAGAGCGTCAGAAGTGTCATGAGGTAACCCCGGGGTGGAGGGTGGGAGGCTGTGCCYGCCCTGCAGGGACTCCCCACAGGATGCTGGCCCAGGAAGGGTGGAGAAACGCCTGACCTGCTCCTGATGACCCGGGGACTTGCAGTGTGCCGGCAAGGTCCCAGGGCCAGCAAGGGACTGGTGGCAACGTCACCAGAAGCCCACTTACCCAGGAGGGTTCCTGGGTACGACCTTTGCCGTTCACGGGGAAGAAGAACGTCTCCGGGGCCACCACCACGGTCCAGGTGCCTGAGCTCCAAGCCTGCTCTCAGCTCCTCTTCCCTCCGGGAACCCCCAGTGCCCGAGCGTGAATCCTTTCATACTAGGAGCGGATTCAGGTGGAACCCAGGAAGCCAGAGTTCTCACCTGACATCGTTTAACTTTAATTGGGATTAAGGCCCAGAAATCTAATCGTTCTCGACGAGGTGACTTTAACGGCTCTCCACCTGATTAGRATCACCAGGAGTTTTAGGACTACCACCCCCACAAATCCCGATCCCACTGGCGCCAGGTACAGCTTGTGTTACCAAACCCCAGTTTAGAAGTTCATCCCACGGAAAATCCAACATCCGAGAGACAAATGTGGGGGAGAAGGAAAAGTTTCCTCCAGGGGTCAAAGAATGGAGAAGTGGAGCCAGGAACAGGGCACGTGCCTGTAATCCCAGGGGYTCAGGAGGCTGAGGCAGGAGGATTGCTTTAAAGCCAGCCTCAGCAAMAGWGAGKCMCTRAGCAACTCAGTGAGACCCTGTCTCCAAATAAAATACAGAATGGGGCTGGGGATGTGGCTCCGCGGTGGAGTGCCCCGGTATACCGAAAAAGAAGGAGAAGTGGAAACCCGTCTGAGATATCAACTTTATTTGCTGATCGCCCCTCAATGAGCGGCCAAGCGCCACGGAGGATGGAGGTGCTCTCCATGAGGGGCGATGGGCCAATAAAGGGGAAGAGCATTCATGTCTCTTCTGGGAATAGGCAGAGAACTTCCAGAAACTCTGCACCACCCAGACTCCTTCCCTGGCCTGCGTTCTCAGTCAGCACAGCGGGTATTTGTCCTTAGCAAGGACCAGGGAGGAGAGCAAGACGAGGCAAGGCTAGGGAAGTCAGCCCGTGTTATAAGTTTGGACAAAACGTTTCTCAAATGATTGACACGTCTCCACGCAGAGCTGACTACAGATCCCTCCTCTAGCTGGTGGCTGTAGGCTTGGAYCTTGACTGACATGGAAGACACCTGGGCAGTTGGCAAACCTGGACGTATCCCAAGGTGCTTCAGAATGACTGAGGGAGGGGCTAAGAGAGCAGGATGCTGTCTTTTGGGGGATAGAACCCAGGGGCATTCTACCACTGAGCCMCATCCCCGGGCCTTTTTCACTGTTYTTATCTTGCGATGAGCAYTCCCTAAGTTGCTGAGGCTGGCCTTGAACTTGTGATCTCCTGCCTCAGCCTCTTGAGKCACTGGTATTCCAGAACTCCAGGTTTTTCTAACGTAATTCAGGAAGGAGAAATTCTCTATCATTCTCGGGTTCCTCAAGCTTTGACGCACATACGAATAAAATGGTAAAATTTTATGATGTTTTTATTCGTGCATTACAACTATACATAACAGTGGGGTTGGCTGTGACATATCTATATATACATGTCAACTCCCCTTGTAAATCTCACTGGTCACCCTGGAAGCACCTTTATGAATTTCAAATATTCTCATCTYGGGATGGTTTGGGGTGGTCCCTTAGGAGTACATCCCTGCTCCGMGATTTAGGGTAACTCCAACTGTAGCCTCAGGATGTGGGAAAGGGGACATCCTCATACACTGCTGGTGTGGTAATCTACTCATGCAGCCAGTGGGGGAAACACTGGGTGTTTCTTCAAAAGCTAGAGTTCATATGACCCAGCTATCCCACCCCTTGGTGCAAACCCAAAAGAACTGAAAACACACGCCCAAACCAATCCTTGTGCACAAATGTTCAGAGCTTCTAATCATAAAAGCCAAAAGGTAGAAAGAACTTCCATCTGTAGATGAGTGGGGAAAACAGCATGGGATATACCCACAGAATGGAATGTTATCCAGTCATGAAAAAGGAATCAAAGGTACCGTGACATCTTTAAAGAAAGGGGAACAGTARAGCACCATGCCCCTTTCCATTCCCCAGAACTAGCCGAGCCAAGGGAACAGAAGAGCAGGCTGGGCAGGGAGCRCAGTAGGTGTCTTCCTGAAGGGCCCTGGCTGTCTCTCAAGCACACTGGGACCAGGACAAGGGAATGTCATCTGCAGAAAGGTGCTTAGGGCCGCTGCTCCCTGGGACGCGGCTCATCCAAGCAGACTGAGTGCGTGATGCTCTCCTCGCCCCTGCGTCCACGCCTAATTGAGAAGYGACTGGGGCAGAGCGAGAGCCCTGGGGAACCGACACACACACTCACGCAGYCGCTGCTGGGAAAATCTCCTTGAGGGTCAGGTGGCTCGGCTTGGCAAAGCACCACAGGGGATGGAGGTGCTCTTCTGCCCATTGCAGTCTCTGATCTCCTGCAAGCCTCCCGTGTTTCCTGTGCTGACTGCGGCTCTCTCTTCAGCCTTTCAGCAACCTACCCACTGGCCGGGCACAGCTGGGCTTGGCCACGAGATGACACGTGCTCTGTTGGGCGTGAACCTAAGACCTAAGGTTAGGTGAAAGATGGCAGGCACAGAGAGCGGCCCACTGACCGGAACCGTCCGGAGCAGGTAGATCCATACCTGACCCTGCAAGGGGATTGTGGCTACAGACCCAGATCAGGGGATTGGCAAGCAATGACCTAATGGGTGAGGAGTCTGATGATAAGGCAGGGGGAACATTTTGAAGCTACCCAGAGCCGACCCTAGCACACCCTTGTGAAGGCACGTGTTCAGTGAACGTAGGTGTCGTCAGTGCCAGTCATTGGTCACATTCAAACGGGTTCACACTCACTACGAGAATTTCACCTCAAAAAATCATTGTCTTCGAGGGAGAATCTGGAAAGAGAAAACCTTGGCAAAGGCAAAACCAAAATGCAGTAAATTGCTACAACACACGATTTTAGAATCAGTTTTATGTATAGATTAACACGACACGTGCATGTGATAAAGGCAGCGYTTCAAAACATTTGGACAATGATTATTTAACAAGGGCTCCAGGGAAACAGAGTCTACTCAGGTAACAACATTGAACTTGACTAGTTAGCTCTGTATTCAGGAAAAATTTCCAAGTGCGTAGTGATGCTAACAGCAACAAACTCTGAGTCACAGGCAAACAGACCATAAAGTGGGTGTAATTTAGATGCCTTACCAAAATACAAATATCTAGTGACCATCGATTAATAAATAAAATATAAGTTAACATAATGTGCACATTTTCAGAGACCATCATTGAAAGGAAAGTGACCACAACACTCGGAGCGACCAAGAGATCTTTACTGCAGCAGTGCAAAAGAGGAGAAAGAGAGAGAGAGAGAGAGAGAGAGAGCAAGAGAGAGGGGGCCCGGCAGGAGGGAGTCTTTATAGTCCAAATCTAATGGGGCCTCTGGGTCTGCAAGCTGCCTTGTTGGCCCAAGGAGGGTTGAGTGCTCAGCCTTGAGCCGGGGGTTGAGTGTTCAGACTTGACGCAAACAGGTGATAAAGGACCAGACAGAGGGGTGTTTGAGTGTGTGGGTTATCYCGCAGCTAACATTTGTTCAGCCTGCCCTGCAGACAACATAGTTCAGCCTGTCCTGCACCTAACAATCATAATTTGATAGAGTATTCACGTTTGCAAAGTGGCTAAGGTTAGTTTTACACAATGACTTTTTAAACAGTCAGTTTCACTTATCTATGACACTAGGACATAAACTCAGGGCAGTTTGTGGTTCAAAATCCTAAAAATGTGCTAGAGACTCATGAGATAAAACCTTAGAATGCCGATTTCCCTTAGCACCTCTTTTATCTTTCAAACCTTTCAGAGAGTTCTTGTCCRGTCTTATGAGAATTATGTAGCACTTGGGGGCAAAGATGCAGCCCAGGAGCCCTGCGCTGGAGGCCAGGATGGAGAAGACCTCCACGGCCACCATGACCTTGCCCTTGGTGCTGTGGTRCACAGGGAGGAAGGTGAGCCAGACACTGCAGAACACCAGCATGCTGAAGGTCAGGAACTTGGCTTCATTGAAGGTGTCAGGCAGGTTCCTGGCCAGGAAGGCCACCGTGAAGGTCCCCAGGGCCAGGGAGCCCAGGTATCCCAGGGCACAGTAGAAGGCAGTGACTGAGCCCTTGTTGCACGTGATGATGATGTGGCCATGTTCAGAGTGTGTGTCTGTGTCCACAAAGGGAGGAGAGGTCCCCAGCCAGACTCCACAGAGAGTCAGCTGGATGAGGGAGCAGCTGGGAATGATGAAGTTAGGTGTCCCTGACACCAGCCACCACCTCATCCTTCTCCCTGGGACAGTGACCTTGAAGGCCAGAATCACAGTGACAGTTTTGGCCAGGACCGTGGAAACGGCCACAGTGAACACCAGTCCAAATGTGGTCTCCTGCAGGATGCAGGTGGCTGTGTTGGGACGGCCAATGAAGAGCAGAGAGCAGAGAAAACAGAAGGTGAGGGAGATGAGCAGGATGTAGCTGAGAGCCCTGTTGTTGGCCTTGACTATGGGGGTGTCTCTGTGCTTCACAAAGACCCCAAGGACAGCAGCTGTGAGTGCAGAGAAGCAGAGAGCCGTGCAGGCCAGAGCCATGCCCAAGGGGTCTTCATAGGCCAGGAAGGTCACTACCTTGGGGAGGCAGTGAGTCCTCTCACTGTTAGGGTGCTCGTGTGCGGGGCACTGGACACACCGCTCTGCATCTGGGGAAAAAGCAAAGAAAGGTTCAGTGTTTCTTTTCCACAACGTCTTCATTGTTGCCATGTTGAAGAAAATGTCACCTGGGCACCATCACTGTGAGTACAGACTGCCTGCGCTGTCACGCAGAGGCACACCAGAGTGGCCGCGACATTCCTGAGCAGGGAGAACRCTTCCAGCTGCAGCGGAGACCAAACCCACTCCCACAGGACCTTCAGCAGGTGGCCGGTGTCTCTGGGCTTCTCGTGMGGCACAGTGAGGTCTGCAAGGCTGTGACTTCCCCCCACCCGCTATCTGGCAGAACAAGTCTTTCCTCATCCCACGTTTTCATTTTTCGGTGGCTATTCTTGTTAATATTTCCATATAGATATTAAAAACAGATTCAAATTGAAAACATTTGAATGGGATTTAAATAATTAACTTCTAAGTAATAGGTATTTCAATCAATTTTTAAGAATAGATTGTATTTTGGGGAGTCTCCATTTATCTACATCTGGAAGTCTGGTTAGTTAGCCTTTCTTGTAAAGTGGCGGGTCACAAATACTGAGAGCTGCACATACCCTGGTGTCCCCAATGCAACCGCTCAGCTCTGCTTCTGTAGCACAGGCAGTTGTGGACCAGGGAACCTTAGTGGGCACGTCTATGTTTCAATTAAATTTTGTTTGTGCAGGCAGTGGTTTGCCTCCTCTGTACTCATGCAACAGAGCAAGGTTCTGGAGTCATTTAGAGTGGTGCTGGGGATTGAGCCCAGGGCCTCGTGCATGCAAGGAAAGAGCTTTACCAACTGAGCTAGATCCCCAGCCCTGCACATCTTTCTCTTAAGATCCTCCTTCCTAGCTGGGTGCTGAGAAGCTGAGACAAGAGAATGGTGAGTTCAAAACCAGCCTCAGCAACTTAGTGAGGCCCTAAGCAACTCAGTGAGACTCTGTCTCAAAATAAAATACAGAAAGGGCTGAGGATATGGCTCAATGGTGAAGCATTCCTGGGTTCAACCCTTGGTACCAAAAGACAAGATCTCATTCCTCTTCACAGAGTGAACAGGGGCTCCTGGTTTCTGTCTCAGAGACGTGCTTGGCACACAGAAGTGCATTATGGACCCTGTGTTTTGTGCTCTTTCTTTTTTTTTTTCCATTATTTTGTTCATTTATTTTTATGTGGTGCTGAGGATCGAACCCCGTGCCTCACATGTGCTAGGCGAGCGCTCTACCGCTGAGCTACAGCCCCAGCCCTGCGTTCTCYTATTTTTCTTTTTGTTCTACACACCGTTTGGTGTTTCAAATCTTTCTCAAAYGGGGAGATTGTTATTTTGTTAACTTAAACACACCTCAAGATAAGTGCCCAATGACTCAAGCCAAATGACTGCTGCTGCTGAGATGACGGGAATCACCCAGGGCTGTCAGAAATCTCAGTCCTTACRTTTCCTCTTTATATTTTGAAAAATGGAGGCCGTTTTAACTATCCCTTTAACTTGTTGTGCTTGACAACAACACATTTTGTTTTGATATATAAATCCTTAAATTTATATCTTGGGTAAAGATGACTTTGAGGGGACACTGGATTATGCCTTTTATTAAAATATTCTGTCCTCATAACAAGTTAACATGTTTCTTTACCTTATCATATTACAATATTCCAAAGGTTAGGGTCTTGTATTAAGTACGTTCACTTAATACCTCGCATGGTGTTGAGGACCGCAGTCCAAAATGTCATCAGGTGTTTCCATGACAACTCACGCTGAACTGCTGTGTATTCATCATCTGGATATGGAACACGCCAGAGTCTTCCCCTCTACATGTGGTTTCACACCCTGAGGATTTGACATCTTACATGTCACAGGTAGCCGTTAGCGGGCACACCTGGAGGTCTCAGATTGAGACTTTAGCGATGGACAGTCAACAAAGGTGACCACTGGAGTCAGTTTCACAGTTGAGCCCAACAGGTGAGCACTACCTGTCAAGAGCCTACGCATCAAATGGACATACTGATCGTGTGCAGGTGCAGATAGGGATAATGAATCCCACTGATGATCAAGAATAAATAAATGGCTATATTGAAAGCTTGAGTGGCSCACTATGACCCCAAGAGGACGCCAATCCTTTGGTTTCTTTTTACTGAGAAATAGAGACGTGAGCTATCCCAGGGCAGCCCCACATCACCTACCTGTCTGATTGGAAATGTGTCCCTCTGGGCAAAACACACAAGCAAAGCAGCAGACGGGCCTTCCTTCCTGGGGGATCTTCCTGAATCCCGGGGGACAGCTCTGGCTGCACACAGATCSAGGAGTCTGAGGGAAGAGACAGGACCCGTCACCACTCTGCACATTATCAGCAGCTTTAAGAGAACGTCAAGATCTCTCCTCCTAAGAAAGGACTTTGACCTTCGATAAAGGACCATCACTCCACCTCTGAGCACCACGGTCCTGACGCCCAGACGTCTAGTCCTGGGTTATCACGGCTGGCTGACACCCTCGCTTCTCACCACAGGACCCACTTTGGTGGGCACATCACCAGCCACACTTCCTGGGTTTCCTCTCTTCCTGTTGAACCTCAGCATCCAAGATCTTTCAGTGCAGTTTTCTGTGTGGTCCTCTGGACTTGTGTGCCTGGAAATATTCTCCCACGCCCTCACACTCTCAGTTGGTGCTTTGATTTGAATATGAACGGCATCCCCAAAAGGTCCCTAAGTTAAGGGACTTGTCCCYGGGTGGCGCTGTTGGGAGGTACTGGAACCATTAAGAGGCAGAGCCTAGCGGGAGGTTTCCTGTAATCCCAACTACTCCAGCAACTCCATGAGGCTGGGGGGGTGGGGCGGATCACAAGTTCAAGGCCAGCCTGAGCAACTTAGTGAGACCCTGTTTCAAAATGAAAAAATAAAAATAAAAAAAGGGCTGGGGATGTAGCTCAATGGTGGAACACCCCTGGGYTCAATTCCTAATACCACAACCAAAATATATATAAATATTATATAAATCATTTACAAAATTGCCTAAGTGTGTCCAATTGTGAAAAGCTGACATGAAGTCATGTCAGTGCTTTAACAGATGCTGAGTATAAAAACTGAATAGCACCCAAAATTCTAAAGAAACTGGAAATGATCCCTCCCAAGAGGCGAATGGTGTAGTCATCCACAATCGTGTTTAYAGTGCATCAAAACATAATAAGGTTTCTGACCACCCATGACTAGGAGTTTCGGGATAGGTGGAGGAATATTTTTGGTATTTGTGTATCTGTATTTTTATCTTTATCTTTGCTCATCAACTTGGTTCAGTTTTATCACCGCTGCATGGATAGATATACCCAAACTTTAACTGCTTCTCCAAACTTTTCTTCCTGTAGGTGCTAGTTCAGAATCTGCCAAAGCAGGATCATGGATCACAGAGTACAAGGTGAGTGGGGAAGGGTGAGTTTAGGGCCAGGTTAAAGGTCACGGTCAGGCTCATCTCAGGGCCCCATCCAGATCCCTCCCATGAACCCAACACTGAACTGGGATCGTACCTCTGTGAATCCAATAGGCCATTCTATCATCTCCTCACTGATGACCAAGCCTTGACCCAGTGGACTCCTGGGGACAAACTGTCCCACTTTAACCAGCAGCCCGAGACCAGCAGGGAAATTCACAGCGTTGAGGATGTCATACTGGGCCATCTGGCTGCTCTTCTCATCCAGGGAGACGTGGTCCCCAGCGCTGTTGGTAAACCGGAGGTTCTTCAGGAACCGATGCAGCTGCAGGAGGCAGAGTTGGACATGAGGAGTGTTCGGGCTGGAGGTGGACGGTGCCCATGGGCCACACCGTCCTGCTTTTCCACCCCCTGCTCTTGGGGTTTCCTCCTCCGGAGGCTCAGGGCTGCTTGGGTGGCCACCATCCCCAGGGTGAAGTGGAAAGTCTTCTGCTCCCTGGAAAGGGGTTGGGAGTGATGGAATCCCATCAGAACTGTCCCAGGATGCTGCCCTCAGTGGCCTGGGTGGGCTCTGTAGAACCCTGACCCGGGGAGTCTGTCTGGGGCCTCTTCAAAGCCAATCCTTGTACTTTGAAAAGGGACCAAATCACTTAGCACCCCGGCTGTGCTTATGGCCCCGGGGCATGTACCTGTCACCACTCCTCAAATTGCAAAGGTCAAACAGGTGCGACTTTGCATATCAGTTACACCTCGGGCTTTAAAGGGCACAACACAAGTTGTTTTCTGTCCATGCTTTCTGACCTTTTTAGGTGAGAATGAAATTGTCTTGTGACATTGCAGGAAGCCCTATATGCTCCAAAATTAACAAATCAAAACCCCGGATTCTAATGAAGTTGTTGATAGAAAGCTAACCCTGGAATCTCTAGGCCCCGTGGCACTGTGCTGCGGGAAATAATTAATCTCTCATTGCTTAAAAAACTATTGTTGAATTCTCCAGTTACTTAAAGTTGAAGCATTGTAAAGAATTCATAATCACATCTTTGGAGCCCATCTTGACAAAGCCACCTACTCTTCTAAACGTCAACTCAAAATAAGCCCAAAATGGCATATCAAATATTATCATTGTTAGTAAAAAGATAGAAATTCGATGGTGAACTGAATTTTCTGATGTTGATTTTTATATACACATATCTGCCTTTGCCTACATACTAAATTTATTTGACATTTTCTACAAATATGATTAATGAGTTTGCCTATCGTACATGAGAATAGAAGTTTATAMATGTAATCCATCCATGGGTCATGGGTTCAGATGAGCCCCAGCTAAAATCCAGACAAATCCACATCAAACCCTGGGGAGGAGGCCTGAGCTTATGTCCGTCATCAGTGATCTCATATTTTAACATGGGTCCCTGTTCCCAAGATTATTGCAGGTTTTAGCAGAACGTCTAARAACAATTTATTTCCAAGAGTCATCTTAGATATTACATTTGAAATGGGTAGAACTTATTTTTTATTTTCAAAAACAGTATTTCATGGAGGGCTTGGGCAATACGTGTACAAGATGATGGAAGGGATACCTAGACTCAGATATGGTCATATGGTCGGTCCAGATTTTCCGACATTTGATCTACACGGAAAAGTGTAGATCTCAATGGTTTTTTACTTACGTTTTGTCATCAGCTGCATTTGGATATTTGACAGCCTAAAATAGAAAAATGTTTTTCTGATTCCATTTTCTAATAGCTTGAAATAGAAACTCCTAGTAGCAGAATGCTCCCCATGTAGATAACACAGATGTACCTACAACCAGTGTGAAAGAGCCCAACACTCCATTTGGCCTGATCCTGCTGAACTTGAGATGAAAAYGTGGTTGTGATACACCTTAGTAAAGCACCTGCGGGTGGCACCAGGGCTCAGGGCTCGCCTGGCTTCTGAGGGGGGATTTTACCTGCCAGGGATGCAGCTGAGGTTGATCTGCATCTTCTGAAGATMCCATTTCAATTTTCTCCGAAAGAATTTTATGGAGGACGTGGGCCAGCGCATACACAGCATTATAAACAAAGTAGCTGGAGTCAGACAAGGTCATGATGTCCATATTTCCTGGCATGAACTCTAAGGAAGTGTTTGGTCTGCACTCTCCAAACTTTTCACAGATGGACCCAGCAGGTGAGCAATCAAAAGAATAAGCCCACAGTTTGCTGAAGTAAAAGTCCTCCGGGTAGTGGGAAGGGGTCACTGTCTGGAGGAAGTGTCYGAAGCCAGGGATTTCCCCCTTGTGAGGTGAGAAGGAGAAGCCCCCGTGGAAAGAGTGCAGCATGTGGTTCATCTCGTGCAGAACGATCTCCTGCTTCCCTGCCATGATCCACACCTTCCCTRTGGTTAAAAAGAAGTCTGCTGCCATGTCCACGGTGACGAGGCTCCCTGCTTCACCGTGGAGTATGTGCACGTTTGCAGAGGAGACTCTGATCCTACTCAGGAAGGTGACGTCACCTGATCCATACATTGTCTTAGTGTCAGGGAGCTTTTCTGTTAAGGCCACACAGATACCATTCTTGACCATCTCTGCTCTCAGATCCCTCAGGAACTGCTCTCCCTTCAAATCATCAGACAGGAAGAGCGCCACCCACGTCCAGCCAAAGTGCAGCAATAAGGAGACCATCGCATGGGCCAGAGAGCTGTCCCTGGGGGCCATCTGATAGAGTGATGGAAACTGATCTTTATCACTCAGCACGGGATCAAAAGGTCCGTACGTGACCTGAATGAGCAAAAAAAGATACGATTCTGAGTTTATGGGGACTTGGGGGTGTCTGTCCAGGGGAGGGGGCAAGAAAGGTCTGTATACGAGAGGCAGAGGGAGAGACTGCTGTAGAGGTTACCCACTTCTCTCATTCTGGGGGCACAGAGCACCGTGTTTCCAGTGCTGTCACCTTGAGGGAAGGACATGTGAAATCCACCTGTGCTTTCATCTCCTGCAGCAGGAAACAAAGAACTCTGGATGAAGCACGACCCAGGTGGCATGGGTGCCTCATCCTTGACCCCCGCAGACAATACTGCAGGCAAACTCAGGGGAAGAAAGAAACCTTGACTACATGGATCTCCTGGTACTTTGGACTTAATTTATGAACACGACAACTTAGATCATCTTAAAGATGGCTTCCCTATCCTCTTTGATTTTATAAAATTGAATTCTCCCAGAACAGGATTCTCCAACGCTAGTGCCTGTGATTGGCGGTAATGCCTCCTCGTGGCTGCTTGTGTTGGATGGGTCCCCGGGCCAGGCCTGAGGTGTGGAGACTGGTAAGTRCGTGGTTCCCTGGGAGTGCTCACAGGAGATGTGCATGGGTGGAGGTGAGCAAGGCAGGCCGGGCAGAGGGAGCGGGTGACCACGTGGGTGTAACAGCCGCAGCCAGCCCTTGGGATCCCTGGAACTGTAGTGGCCCTCGGTGCTGCTCCAAATACAACCCAGATGCCCAGACGTTACCATCCCCCATGACAGTCATCAGCCTCTGGCTGCGCCTGAGACGGCTGTGTCCTGGGATGGGCAGGTTCCCAACTGAGGATATCTCCTAGCAGTCACATGACTGTGAGCTGCCAGCAGCCAGTGTCCCCAGTGGCTGGGGGATGGAAYAGTAGCCCTAGAAAGTAACCTTGGTTGAGACTAAGGTGTCCCCAGGTATCTAGGTATCCCAGCTCCTTCTCCTTCCACTGTGACAATCTCAGAACACAGRGACTCCCCTGGGACTTTCCCACCTGAACCCCCTGGGGGCATAATACGTGCTCGACCTCCACATTTTCCTCTGATCAGAGGTGAGCGGGTGACGCCCAGGAGACCSGAATGTCTCTTTCCAGAATTTCCAGCGCGCTCACCTGGGGCGTCTTGTAGCGCTCCAGAAGCGTTCCAATCTGGGCTGAGAACGCCGCCGCTGTCCCTGCGATGACGGCAATGGCCTTGCTCTGAGTCCGGCATTTGTAGTTCGGGAGAAACTCGGTGCCTCCAGAGAGCCAGAGCAGAGCCGTCTCCAGGGTCCTGTGGTCACTGTGAAAGGCGTTGAAGACGTGGAACCCCAAGGTCAGGTTGGGGAGCAGGTGCGAGTCCCTGTTGATCTCCTCGATGGCAAAGTAGAAAGCCAGCACATACTGGTAGTTCTTCCAGAGCCACCTAAGAGGGAGCGGCATTGGAAAGAAAGGTCAAGGCGTGTCATTCAGGCCAYTCCCCTGCCTGGTCCAGCAGAAGGAGGTCTCACCCCAGGCTTCCTGTGAGAGGTCCTGCCCTGGCACCCAGAGCTAGTGTGAGCAAGGTTCCCAGGACTCCGGGAATTTTGCAGGGAACTGAGTGGGGTGGGGTGACCTCAGCCSATGACCCTGCTGTCAACTGGAATGGAGTCATGGTTCTGATGGACCCACTCTCCGGGTGGAAAGTGAGCCACCGAACAAAGGAGGGGACTGGGCTTGTGTAGGTTATGGGTGATTTTGTGAGTGCGTCAGTTTGGGTGCTCAGGAATTTGGGTTTGGGGTCGGGGGTCGGCGGCCAGCACCTGGAGARGATTTGTCTTGGAGGACATTGGTGCTTCCCAGAGACCATCCTCGAGGCTTGGTGAAGCCCCTTCTCCCCACCAGAGGCCAGCGTCTGAAAAGGACTGGTCTTGAAAGAGATGAAAGCCATCAGTGAAGGCTCTCTTTTCACCCCCTCTCCCAGGCCACGCAATCTTGGGGTGTTTCACTCTCCGTTTCCAGTGCAGTCCTGTACGTGGGCGGTTCCTGCGAGAGCAAGTTTCACACGGTCAACAAGGAGGAGGTTTTTCCAATGAAAAGTCCGGTGTGGAGGCCGTGTTTCCCCGAGTGTGCGGAGGTCCTGAGCCAGCGGCTTTGCCTGTGGAACTTGACATTTCCTTCTGTTGTCCCAACAAATGGTCTGATTTTGTTTCTTTGCCATGAATCCTTGAAAGAAGTTTAGGGCTCATGGAGAGAACCGTGTGGTTGCATGTCCAATAGACCTAACCCTCCTGCCCCCGAGACCTGCCTGGGGCTTCATTTAATTTTTTGGATTATTATAAGTTAAGAACAGTGAATTAAAAAAAATTCTTTACTTTTAAATACTTTGTCTGATGTCCTGTGATTTTCCTGGGTGAAGGGAATAGTTCGGTCACGTTTGGTACTATTAACACTGGACATGGGTTTAAAGTTGGCTATTTAAATTCTCTTTYTCCCAACTTCAGACCTGCGAGAGGCTGGGTTCCCAATGCTGCACCAACCCACAGAAGCCTGAAGAGATCCTAAGTGTCCAAGTCAGATTTGTACGCTCACTGTCCACATGCCACTCAAAGCCCTAAATATAGATTGCTTTATCAGCATCCTTTGCTACTMTTCAGTAATAAAATCTGAAGCACAGAACACAATGGAGAACTCTCTAGCAGGTTTTAATGAGCCTCAAATAATCTCAACAAAAAATAAAAAGATTTTTTTTTCTCATTCTACACACAAATCTAGCTGCCAYCATTCTACCCAACACAGCATCAAAAAGGAGGAAATGTTAGGATGAGGGAAGACTTATTCCCAAATCCAGAGTCTCCACAACAATCTATGCTGGTACATAAGTTAGAGATAATAACAATCCTACAGATTATGTCRAGCAAATTCAAGAACATACGGCCCTTCCTTCTTATTCTCTGCAACCAGAAGCACCTTGAACCCCAAAGAGACCAAGATATTCAGGTTTTAAAAGAAAGCACATTACAAACTAATCCATGCTACACCCTGAATAAATCTTAAAMACCTGGCACAAGGCCAGGCGTGGTGGAACATGCCTGTAACCCTGGAGCTCAGGAGGCTGAGACAGGAGGATCACCGGTTTGAAGCCAGCCTCAGCAATTGAGCAAGGCTGTGAGGAACCTAGTGAAACCCTGTCTCAAAAATAAAACATAAAAAGAGCTGGGGAGCGAGGCACAGCGGTACATGCCTAAAATCCCAGCAGCTCAGGAAGCTGAGACAGGAGGATCGCGAGTTCAAAGCCAGCCTTAGCAATGGCCAGACACTAAGCAACTCAGTGAGACCCTGTCTCTAAATAAAATACAAAATAGGGCTGGGGATGTGGCTCAGTGGTTGAGTGCCCCTGAATTCAATCCTTGGAACCTAAAAAAAAAATAAAAAAAGGGAGAGGAGGGTGCTGGGGATGTAGCTCAGTGTCTAGGTGCCCCAGCTTCAGTCCCTGGTACCAAACAACAACCATAACCAAAAAAATGTGGCACAATTTGAATGAAGCCACTCACAAAATATCACAAATTATATGAATCCATTTATACAAAATGTCCAGAATCAGCAAATCGATAAAGACACAAATTAGATTCATGCTGGTGAGGGTTGAGGAGAAGGAGAGAAAACGGAAGCAACTGCAAATGAACATAGAGTTTCCACCTGGGGTGGGGGGTGAAAAGACAAGCAGCCAAGGCTCATGACGAAGCACATCTCTCTGTGCAACAACCAACTGCCCCAGTTATCTTCTCCCAGGATTTAGAAGAGCTTGTTTTAAAAGATGGATAAACAGGTGTTACTCAAGGTCGTACCAATGGAGCCTCATCCCAAATGCCCAGTATTTTTACATAAACAAGCGTAGGCACCTCTACGTGGAAGGACACTTGGTAGGCATGGAAACAATAAGGAGAAGGTCAGTTAGCCACAGGGAAACGTGGTCACGCTCTGTGGTTGGGTATGAGTGAGGCCCAGAGTCTGTGCCCACATGGGAACGTCCACAAGTCCAGGAAGAGGAGATTTCAGGGCTTAATGACCATGAGCATGAGGCCAGGGCTCTGGTGGGCAGAACTAGGGGACCAGAAACTTCTCTGGCCAGAGGATGGAAGACAGAGGGCTAGGTTAGGCCCCCAGTGCTGTGACTGGACTGGGGACGCCCACCCTCTCCCCACACTGGCCTTAGGGACAAGGCAGGTTCTCTCGGAGCCCCTGAGATTAGGACCCGTCCTCTTCCTCACTCCCAGCCTCTCCGACCCTGACCGAATGGAAGCAACCAGTAGCTGCCACCTAACCAGAGAGTCCATCTGCATGAAGCAATGGCCGGAAAATACCCCATTTCAAATTTTGTGTAATAATGGAGAAGGAGACAAAGAAGGAAGGACATTCAAAACAGCGAGAAGGGACAGACAAAGGTCTTCATCCAGATGAGGAACCGCCAGGCTGGGACCCCACCCCAGAGATGAGCAGCTGCRCTCTCCCCTCCCTCCAGTGCAAGGCCACCTGCTGAGATGACAGGGGAACTGCCCAGGACAGAGACACCCCAACTAAAGAAATTGCGTTTTGCCTAACCACCATCCGAGGACCAGGACGCGGCAGGTTGAGAGGCTGAAGGTTTTAGAAGCAGACTCRACCGCTCCGCCCAGAGCCCAGGCTGTCTGCTGGGAGCCTCGCTAAGCGTCTGTGCAGTCGCTCAGTTGCTAGAGACGCAGGCCACACTGTCACAAAAAGCCCAGAAGTCAAGTGGTTTCTGTATTTTTCCTGAAGAAATGACCAAGATGCCATGGATGGGCATGAACCCCTTGGGAAGATGAATTCCTTTCCTCCCTTGGCCTTCGGCCTCAGGGACCAAATGCCTCCCCTCTGAGTGGATTCCGTTAGTTGTGCATCTTTTGTAGGAAGTGCGGGTGTTTCGGGGGATGGCCTGTCTATGAGGCACACTTCAACAGTGCCCTTTGCAGCAGTGGGCACCCAGAGTGAGCCCCCGAGTGTAAGAGTGACCGCAGGCCAGGACTCAGTGTCTAGGACACCTGGGGTCCCACTCCAGGGTCCTGGCATGAGGAGGAACTGAGGTCCCAACAGGATCACTCATTCCGAGAACCCCATCGTGGGGATCGGGCCAGTGGAATTCACCCAACAGGTGCAGGTTCCTGTCCTCTGTCTCCCTGGGCGTGGACAGCAAAAGAGAAAGGAAATGGAAGGGTGCAGGTGCATAGGAGAGAACTACAGAATCCACCAGCTGCGTTACTCTCATTTGCACACACACTTTTTACGGTTGTCCAAGGGGATCTGAACACACCCGAACACACACACTCAGAACCCCGCCACACATGCCTACCATGTGGAACTGACCTGTGAGGCACTTCTTGACCATGTGGCCTGAGCAAAAAATAGAGCCGGGCCAGGGGCGCCTTCCGATTCACGTAGTAAAGGGGGAAGAAGGCACCCAGCAGCAGGTCTCCCTCTCTGCGGACACTGGGCTCCAGGTGTCRGAAACACCTCCACAAATCCAGGGCCCCCGGAGCGTGGGAAGGMGGCAGGAGGAGGAGGAGGACCAGCAGGGACAACGGCATGTCAGGGTCTGCCTCACACAGAGGCCAAGCGGAGGGGGAGACGGGCGGGGTGGGGTCCACGGGCTCAGGCCTTGCAAGGAGGGTGGTGCCTGAGCAGGCCCCCTGGAGTCCCACGACTGCTCGATGTCCTCCACCTGCGAAAGGAGTGTGTGGACAGGCTTGGAGGTCGGGGCATCCGTCGGGTGTCACGGGCCTGAGGCTGCAGCCTTGGCGTCTCTGTGATCTGCAGTCCTGACTCCCAGTCTTCACTGCTCCCCGACCGTGGCTCTGGGGACCCACAGCCCCGGGGCTCTGCACCTGTCCCCCTCCATCCTGCTGAAAAACACTTTGGAAAAACATGTTTTGGACTCTCCTTCTCCTCCGGCCCCTCTGGTCTCATGACGGCCCAGAGAGGCTTCGGGGACCTCAGAGCATCCTGAGACGGCCTTCTCTGTCCTCGTGTGATCGCGGGGCCAGGGGATTGGCAGAGTGAGGAAGCGCTGGCTGGAGCCAAGAAGACGCCTTAGCAAGAAGGGAAGGGCTGACATCCAGGACCCCGTGCAACCCTCGGAGGCCACCTTCATCCTGTGCCCAACACCGCTCCCAGGTCCACAGTGTGCTCCGGGAAGAAATGGGTTTCGTGGTTTGCAAAGGAGCAGGCCATGTCCCAGGGAAGTTCTGTGGGTCCCCSGACCCGCCACTGCAGGGTCAAACCTCTCGGCCAGGTGGCTGGGGTGCTGGGCTCTGCCCACGGAGAACCTGGCCCCGGGGTCTTATCATCACGTGGTTTACCCAATGCATATCTACTGTTGACACTGTTGAAACATTCCTTACAGAGTTTTCTTATTTATTTTTTAACTTCAG